ATTCAAGTTCACTTTACGGCTTAAACTAAGACTTCTTTTATATAATTAAATAATTGAAACCGATCCATTGATTCACATTTGTATCATAGAACAATTGAATTCCATACATCTGGGTCATTCTATCGGTTCATTGTGTCGCGAGTTAAAACTGAGTTTAGCTTAAGGATTCAGGAGCATCTAAACTCTAAACGAAAGGGTAACCTTGATTGTAAGTAGTGTCTCGCGATCCGTAACCAAAGTTGTTGCTCAGACTATCCAGGAGTTAACTGAAGAACAGGAGACGTGGGCGTAACGGGCGTCATGCATAGTAAATGAGAGAAGTCATTTTCTTCGACTTTGTCCACGGAGGAGACAGGAGAGTGTGAATAAAAAAATTCAAGATAGAGACGTTGATCGACTGGATTACGCAATCTGCACGGACGAGAATCAATTCACGGCAAAATAACGTTGGAGCTGTCCTCACTATTACATAAATTATAATTGTAGAGATTTTGATCTCGCAACCCTCATACGTTCATTGGCTGAAATTGGAATATGTATACCTGCTCTTACTGTCTAATTTCATTAAAGAAGAAGCCTTGTATTACAGAACTCGTCACAATGTCCAACTAATCATGTAGCTAAATGAACTTCATTATTTTTTCCGATTCGTAAATCAGTTATATGTTTGATTCATATCTCAAAGCCCTTTTAATCGAAACTCCATGTGCCCGCACTTGTTACATGAACCAGAAACGATCGTACGAGAATTACTGATACTTATTTGTCGAAACTAGCGAGTCACGCGAACTGTGTCGTCTATTGGCGGACTGTTCGGCTTAGGCTAAACGTAATCTAAGAGGAATTATGGGTCGATGTTGATATTGAGAGACGAAATGACGTATGTGTTCCAGCAGCATCCGAACGCGATGAACAATAGCGAGACAAGCGTGGGCGGTGTGTCGGGTGCATGTGGAAGCAGCGGCATACCGGCGGCCGGCGAGGCCGGGTGCAGCAGCAGAGGCGGCAGCAGCAGCGGCGGAGGCGGCACGGCCAGCGGCCACGGCTGCGATCAGAGTGGCCACCACGGTGGCCCCTCGTCTCATTCCAGGGAGAGCCACGCCAAGTTCAGGCACGGCCTTCTGCAGCTTATGATTCACACGATCGATCCGCTCCACGACGGTCAGTCCCGCGCCGGTATACCAACTCCACACTCTATCACTCTCGCTTTGCCGCTTTTGCTTTAGCGCTGACAGCACGCTCTCTTAGTTAGACTGTGGTAGCCGTACTTTTCTTTATGTACAATAACATTAGGTTGGTGTATATGAAATGTCACTTTCTTTAAGCGTGACAGATACTCCTGTAGAATACAGTACCATGTGTCTGATTCACATAATTTACCAATTACTGCAATGTCTTCTGCTGAAATTGCCCATGTTCACTATAATAGACTGCAGATTTGATGGAGTTATAAGAAAATTGACTGCTCGAATTTGATAAATGTTAAACAAATGTTTTGTATAAAATTATTCAGAATATAAGAAACTGTATCAATATTTAAATGTTGAAAGAAACGTTAATTTAGAACACCTTTTTAGAATTGATACCGAAAATTTGTTATTTTTCATATAAATCTACAGTCGATTCATAATGTTACTAGATTCATCCTATTCCGTATTACAATAATAGATA